ACTAACACAGTGTCTCAGCCAGTAAGAGTGATACATCGATTCAAAAAAGCCACATAGAGACTGTTTCAGGACCAGGTTTCAGTCCAAATTTGGTTCATATGGGAGTAGTTTTCTTAGAATAGGGACCCAATTAATAGTGGGATGTCTTACTCTTCTCATAGAGGAACCTAAAAGAACCAAAGTGACTCTGAAAAATGACTCAGCTTGTTGGGTGCGTTCAAGGTCTTCATACATTCCTCCTGGATAGACCTGAAGATGGGATTAGAAGATTAGATTAGACCATCCCAGACCCATTCTCACTTCAATTTCAGAGAAAAGAAAAAAGCAAAAATGTAACAATTGTCCCCTAATGAAAATAAAAAGGTGAGGTAGCATTCAGATTCTCTAAATGGAGGTGGGAAAGCCCCATCATTGTCATCCTTCTCCTTAGGGTATCAACTTGAAGGCCAGCTCTGGCTTGATCTCTGTCTTTCTCCCTGTACCCTAGGGGAGAAAGTCCATTTCCCTATAATATTCCTAGAATGTTATTTTCAGGAAGACAAATCCCTTGTCTTTTGTGCTTTCTTCACCCCTGCCTGTCAGAGTACTGTCTTTCACTGAGTGCTCCAGAGATACACAGTTGCAGAAATCCGTGAGGAATGATTGGTCAATAAGAACCCAAGTGCACCTTTAGCCTTGTCCTCCCCCACTAAGAAAAACTACCTGGTAGTTAAAGTTTGTACTTTAAAATTAGACATGGATTCAGGTCTCAACCTTGTCATTCATTCTACCCATGCGTTCTCTGGGACCTGACTTGAGTCTACTTGCTGTCTGTCATTTGTAGCCAGCAATCACTGCTTTACTTTGTGAAGTTTCATTGAAATATTAGATGGAAAGTGCTTAGGAAAGTCCCTAGCATGCTCAGATGAGTCAATTCTTAATGTTGGTGCCAACCCTCTGCCTTTGCCAAAATAGCCTTCAAACTGAATGCCCACCACCCAGCAACAAGCTCTGCTTGTGTCAGCTGGCTTCTCCCTCCAGCATCTCATGGACAGTTTTTCAGGCATGCAAGGTCTCAGATCACAGGCGCCAAAGACAATGTGAGTATCCTCATTTCAATAAGGCTAACTATGGTCCTAGTCAAAAGTTATCTGTTCACTTTAGAATTCTTGAATGTTCACTAAGTCAGTTTTGTATTTCTCACATACCAGTGCCTTACACAGTATCTGGGATAAAACTTCACTGATTTGGGGCAGAGGGAGGGAGGGAGGGAGGAGGGGGGAGGAAGGGAGGGGTGAATGGATGAGTGGATGATAGGCAGATGAATGGGTAGATGGGTAGATGAAAATTAACTATGTTTCCTGGCAGCTCCACAGGGATTTATGATCTTCATAACCCCTACTAACCAGGAGAGTGCCTTACCTACACCAGGAGCTCACTAAATGTTAGTTGGATGGAGATAAAGGAGACAGAAGATTAGAGAAAGATAATCAAGAGCCATCCCCACCTGGAATCATTCTTCTTCCAGGGCATCCTACTGAAAGGCGTTATTGAACAGAGAGGCAGGGAGTTGACAGCAACTCTCTGGACTGTCTCCCAGGGCCTTTTTGGAACAGGAAAGTTAATTATGGAGCCAGATTAACAGTTTCTTTTTTGATACAGTCAAAGTAAAACCAGCAGGATGCAATTTAGCTCTTCCCCACTTTCCAAATAGCAGCAAATTTTCATACAAAACAAAGAGACACTTGAATTGCAAATTACTTAGGGAGCCAGTTAACAACCCCAATGGAAGAATATTTCTGCTACTTTCAAAGCCAGGCTGTTGCCTTTTCAGGTTTAACCATATAGGGGGGCTTTCACAAAGGTCTGGGCATCTTGCTGCTTTACTGTTTAGCCACGTGGGAAGGAGGAGCAACCCCTTAGGGTTTACTGGAGTGCTCCAACTCATCTGGGACACTCAGTACCATTTCCTACTCTTGGAAGGAGAGTCTCTAGATGCCATCTCATTCAAGAGCAGCATGAAAAAAAAAATGCTTAGGCAAGGCAAGGACATGGGGACTGCAGCAGGTAGTGAGGCTGTAAATATCTTCTAGGAAGAGAATGAAGAATGGGGAGCCACCTCCACAATGCTGTCATGTGGGAATTTGGAACCATTGTAGAATTGCTGTTAGACACTCCTGAGAAGTCTGTAATCTGGATTATTAATTGATGGATTCCTTTTAGCTCTTGTATCTAATTACTAAAAGCAAAAAAATACAACCTATTAACTGGGTAGGACTCATGGTTCACCAGCTCATAACTCATGATCTAGCACCACTTCCTTATTGATAGACATGAAAACTATGGTCAAGAGAAGGAAATAATTTATAAAAGATCATAGAGTGCCCTGGTCTTCTGATGTCTTATCTATTGGCCTGCTAGATGGTACCACATAACTTTCTTCTGATCTCTGCCCCGGGAGGACACAAAGATGTTTCATCTTAACAAACTCACTTATAAACCCTTTTTCTGCTTAAATAATTTCTACTTTTTGCAGAGGATTTAGAAGACAGAGCAAGGATAAAGAAAACTAAAGTCACAGGGTGCTGCTTATGGAGGGACTGGAGGCTGGGGTGGGAATCTGGCTATATACAAGCTGCTTCGAGGTATGACCACTGGAGGGAAAGGTGGCATCTTGGTTGAGTTAGCACCAAGTAAGTGTTTGGAAAGTTGGGGCAGAGGTTAACCCTTGTCTATGCTTACAGCAGCCAGGCAGGTGGCAGAAGTATACAAAAGAGGCCACATGGGGACCATGGTAAAAGCAGTAAACATGCCCTGATTAGGGGTTGAGAGCAGAGTTCACATTTACCCTGTGTCATTATGAGGAAAGGTAACCCTGTAGAAGATGACTTGATTTTCTCCACAGTAGAAATGTCTAAGGTCAGTGTTTAAGGTATATGGCCCTTCTGAGCTTTTTTGTACATGAACTCTGAAATCCAACTTTCAGTGTAAATCAGTGTTTAAATCTAGTTCAATTTTTTTTAAATTTTTTTTGAAGTTTTGTATATGTCATGCAAAACATCTCAATCAGTCTTAATCATCTTTATACCCCCTTCCCCACTGGCACCCTCCCATACCCCCCCCACTGGAATTCATACATTCTGTCATTTGTGTTAAGGCCTATTGTGTCAAGTAGTGTCCCCAGATGTCCTTCAGTGCAAGTTCATCTACTGAGTCAACCTATCCAGAATCCCTCACTTTAGGAAGATCAGCTCTTCCTCACCCAGCACTAATCAGTTGTCAATATTTCTTCAGGTAGTATTGGGGTCTGCTGTCCATTTCCCCAGTTCTATGCTAGGATTTTGTCTGCTTGAGTTTGCATGGCTCTTATGCGTGCTGACACCATTGCTGTAGGTTCATACAAGCAGGGTCCCAGGACCTTGTAGGAGTATTTCCATATGATCATACAGCTCCTCCCTGGATCTTACAGTCTTTCTGCCTACTCTTCTGCAATGGTCCCTGAACCTAGATGGATAAAGTTGAATATAGTTCAATTTAAAAAAATGAATCAAATAAAGCCCAGCAATGTACAGGGTTGGGGCTAGGTATTTCTTTATGACCTCCACTTAGTGACTCATTGAGACTGGACTAGGTCTTGGGAGAGTCAGTCTGCTGGGCAGAGGTTGTTTGTGATCATTGCAGTCACAAATGATCATTGCAGTCACAAGCTAGCAGAGAGAAGGCTGGCAGAGAGATGACCAGGTCAACAGGACAAGATTGGGGAAATGAAGGAAGGTTGTACGTTTAGGTCAGCAGTCTCCTGAGGAGAGAAGATTCCAACCAGAGCCAGCCTGCAACTGGCCAGATCCTTCCCAAAGATCTGCTTGAATCTAGAGCACTGACTGGCTGTGGGTGGGTGAGTGTGTGAGTGTATGTGTATGGGGGGGGGGTGCGCACACGCGCACGCACGCACGCATGCATGCATGTGTAGTCTTTACCTTAGAATGATGTTGATATCTCCCTCAGTAACCCTGTGGAAAACCACTATACTTTCTCACAGTAGAAATGTTTAAAGTCAATAAAGATAGTGATGACTATGTCAACTCTGCTTTTCACTGTACTCCATCAATGAATAACTATAAAGAACAAAGCATAAGGAACCTTTGAATAGAGGTCCTGGGTTTCTGCACCATATTCTTTCTATGAGCTTTACAATCACGGTAAAGTGATAATTATGATTTTTTCTCTGTCTCCCTGTATTAGGATTCTTGATAAAAAGACAAGAAACACAAGCTGCTTAAGCAGAAATAAAACTAATGTGGCCTAAGTAATGAAAGGCTACATACTGCTCATGCTCCTGAAAACGTCAAGCATGTCAATCATGGATGGGGCCAGAGGCCATGTCAGAGCTAGATACCTTTAACTCATGCACCAGGGGATATCTGGGTATAAAAGCTTAGTCAGATAGACCTTAACATATATGACAGAATGCATGAATCTGGTGTGGGGGAATGCGCTATAAGGGAGAACAATGGGAAAGGGACTCAACATATGATTAAAATTTATTGTATGAAATGTATAAAACCTCAATAAAAATATTTGTTAAAAACTGCAGTATTGATTCATTCTCTCTCTCTCTCTCTCTCTCTCTCTCTCTCTCTCTCTCTCTCTCTCAGAAATGCATCTTCTCCATGCCCAGCATGGCAGAAAGAAGTCTTCCTGAGGCAGTCAATGTATCAAGGAGGAAATGCACTGTGGTTTGACCAGAATGTTTCCCAGAGCGATGAGGCTTTAGCCTGGGCTCCAAGGGAGCCTGATTTATATTCTGGATGCTGGCAAATAAAACAGTAGACCTGATTCCCTGGTCAGAGCAAGCCATTCCTGTTGAAACAGCTTCCTGGGAACATGGCCAGCTTGCTTGTGAAGTTCATTTGGAGCTGGAGTCATCCAGCTGGAATGAAAAAAAAAGGCAAAATCCTTAATTATGGTCTCACACCGAGGTGAGATGGTGGAGCTCATATTTATTCTCTTCTGTCTTTCAGCTTCACAGTGACAGGAAGGTCATGACTGACTGGTGAAACGTGTTCCGATGAAAGCAAAAGTGTGAATATGTAAGTAGTTTGCCTTATTATTGGTTAGTCATACCATATGGACTCCTGTCTGGTGCCTTGATGAGCTTCATTAAACTATAATTCCTTCCTTCAGTTCATTTAAGCAAATATCACCTGACCTCATCAGTAAATCAGATGCCAAATATAAAGCTTAAGTTTCTCTAATAAACAAATAGGAAAATAGAGATTATATGTTAGAGAAACTTACATATTACATACTATAATTATATAAAATACATGTATAATGTGTCTATGTATACATGCATATAT